CACACACACACACACACACACACACACACACACACACACACACACACGGTGGGGGGAGGAAATTCTAACTGTTGCTTCACTCTTAACCAGGTAACAATTCATTTAGGTTACACCAGTCTGTAAAAACTGTAAATGCTATTTTATTTTAAACATTTTAAGTTTACAAAAAAAAATCAATGATTGGTACCTTTTTACACTCTCAGATTCCTGAATATGGACAGATCTTCAAAGGGAGGAAGGAGTTCTCATATGAAATTTAAGATAGACTGTCCTGAAGGTTGTGGGGTGGGGTTTTGTTGTGTTTTATCTCGTTTTTGTTTTTAAGACACAATAAAGCTAAAATGTCAAGTCTCTGGGAGAGATCCCCTTGCGGTTTCAGTCAAGGAGCATATCAGAGCACAGACAGGAGACCCCAGCCTGGTGCTTGCCGGCCCGCCCCGGCTGTCCAGGCATATTTGGTAGCGCACGGGTTGGGAGCCACTGGGACAATCACACCTCGCATTCCCTGGCGGGCTGCTGGTGGCAGGTACACGAGCCATACTCGTTGATGATGACCAGGGCTCCCTCAATGTGGTTCGGTTTGTAATCAACGTAGTATTCCTGGGCAGACATGGCAGCCATCTGATGCATGGTCTGTTTCTGCTTTTGCTTCCTGCGCTGCGTCACAAAGCACTGTCTGAGCTGCCTGAGACTGGCTGGGAAGCACTTCCAAGAGACATAGAGCACCAGGACCACGATGAGGAAGGAGAAAATGAGGGCCATGGTACCGGTGACCACCTTGTGAATCTGCACAGCGTTCTCGGCGTGTTCGCCGCCGGGGAGGGCCACGGTAGCCAGCTCAGGCGTGCTGTCGGGCTGCCCCTCCCTGCCGTCAGCGAGAGTGGTGGCCGGGCCGGCGGGGGATCCCAGGTCGCTGCGGTTGGTGACGGCGGAGAGCAGGTGGCCGCTGGTGGGCTCGGCCCCCTCCTCACACAGGTGGAAAGCGTACACTGCGTCCAGGACGTCCTCGCCCTGTGCGTACTCGGGGCTGGCGCACTGCAAGTTGCCATCGTAGCGCCCCTGGAAGTTGCTGAGCCACGAAGCCAGGGCGCACACGTTGCGCCCACAGTCCCAGAGGTTCCCGGCCAGGGTGACGCTCGTCAGCGACTTCCAGGAGTTGAGGATACGGGGCTCGATGTAGGTGAGACGGTTGGAGTCCAGCTGCAGGGACTGGAGGTGTGGCACGGTCTCGAACACATGGGGCTCCATGTACTCGATCTCGTTGCCCGACAGGTCCATTTTCTCCAGGTTCCATACCCAGTCCAGCGAGCTGACCACAATGGCCACCTTGTTCCTCCTCAGGCAGAGCGAGTGTAGGGAGATGAGGCGGGGGAAGTGGGCAAAGTTCACCTTGACCAAGTCGTTGTGCTCCAGGTGCAGCTCGGTGAGCTTGAACAAGCCGGCGAAAGAGTTGCGCGCCAGACTCTTGAGCTGATTGTATCCGATGTCGAGAAACTTGAGGCTGCGGCAGTCCTGGAAGATGCGCACGGGCACGAACTGGATGGCGTTGGCCCGCATGTGCAGCGTGGTGAGCTTCCGCAGCCCGTGGAAGAGATCGGGCGCGAGCGCCTGCAGCTTGTTGTACGAGAGGTCCACGCTGCGCAGGTTGGGCATGGGCCGGAAGGTGGTGTTGGCCAGTTGGGTGATCTGGTTGGAACTCAGTGTGAGTTCCTTAACTCGGCGCAGTTTCTGAAAGGCGTCCCCCTGCACCGAGCAGATGTGATTGTGATCCAGATAGAGCCACGTGAGCTGCATTAACCCCGTGAACTGGCCGGCGCGCAGCTCCGAGAGGCTGTTGTAGCGCAGGGACAAGCCCAGCAGGCCGGACAGGTTGTGGGGCGCCTCGGTGAGGTTGAGCGCCTCGCAGTACAGCAGCCGCCCCTCGCACCGGCACAGCTGCGGGCACCCGCTGGGGGCGGCGGGCAGCATCTGAAAGCAGGCCCCCAGCAAACACAAGACCACCCCCGAGGGCCTCCTCAGCAGCCAGTATAGACAGAGACCGAGCAGCAGGAAATCCATTAGCGAGAATCTTTCCAGAGAGGCTGGAGAATGTCCATTGGAAGCGCTCGGTCAGAAATCTACATCATATTTTATTCCGAGGGAGGGGGAGCGGGGGAGGGGGAGAAAAGGGCAAAAATCAAATAAATACATTGAAATAAAGCAGGACCCCCCCTCCCCAAAGCCACACGTTCACCTCTAAGCATGCAGAAAGCTGGGCAGCATAGAAAGTTCACAGCCACGTAAAGATCAAAGAGATGGTGATTTGGTCCATGTTAGATGCTGCAGCAAAGGGAGGAAAAAAAAAAAAATCTTCGGGAAAGAATTTAATTAAAAAGTGTCTTACCCACCCTTTTCCAGAGAGTGACAACCTCCATTCAGCTGCTCCCTTTGTGTGCAGGCTAATTATATGCAGGGCGAGAGAAGACCCCTCTGTGTTTCCGAGGCAGCCCCGGTCCGCGGCCGGCGGATCTGGCAGGCGCACAATGTCTCACTTTGCTGCTCCGCTCGGGGCTGCAAGGGCGGCCGGCGAGGCGGGGAGGCGACTTCTAGGACCCGCAAGTTTCCCAACTGCGTGCGGGAGCCGGGGCTTCGCCTTCCTGCCGCTGTCCTTTCCCTCTGCAGTTCGGACTGTGACGTTGTGGGGAAAAAAACCCTCCAAACTCGGGGCTCGCGACTCCCCAGGATTTGACAGTCTGGTTAATGTCCGTCATTGGAAAGGACCACTGACCGGCGCCACCTTTTGCTCCGCGGAGACAGCCTGCCATTCGCGCCCGGGGCGGCTGCGGAGAGCGGGCTCGCTCATGCTTTGCGGGCGGCGGGGAGGTGCGGGCGGCGGGCGGCTCGGGTGGCGACGCTGGGAGCGGGGAGCGGCGCCCGGCGCCCGGGCTCCTTCCCTCCGCCAGGCAGTGTGAGGCGCGAGCTTGCACCGGCACCTACTGCTCACTGAGTGTCGTAAGCTGCTCACGATTGTGCGTCTTCCCGGAGCACCTCAGACATGGGCAGATTGAAAAGGGGTGGGCAGAAAACCAACATTCTCCAGAGCCACTAAAGTAATATATGTTCTTTGATGAAATGGAAATAACTTTCAGCTTTTTGGTCCATATTTCCAAAAAGAAAAAAAAAAAAAAAAGGAGGGGGGATGGAGGTTTGGAAAAGCATCATCAACGACAAGAGATTTCCAAGTGGGAGACTGAAATATTCTGTTCCGCCCTCCCCTTCCCTTCGGGGAACGTTCCCCCCTCCCCCTTTAAAGCTGTCTACGTGTAAGAGATACGTAGGAATCTGTAGAGAAATCAACATTTGGTCCTTTGCTTTAGAAAAGCAACTTGAGAGAAGCTAGAGGAAAGCAATGATTGTGGGGATTTGGCTGAGATTTTTCTTTTTTCCCTTGCGGGCACTGGAGTTCTGCAGTCAGCCAGCAATTTTAGGTGGTGGGTGGGGGAATGCTTTCCAAACTCAGCGGATTTGGAAAGCCATCCTGGTCCTGGCGGTAGACCTAGAGTGGCAGAAACCTATGTCTGTGTACAGGGAGTTTTTCTTGCCCGAGATCCCTCTGGGGCTTCACCAGTCTCCATAGATGTCTGTGGGGTCCCGGGTGGATTAAAGAAAGATTCTAATGTCTGACACCGGGAGGGCTGACCCTGACGTGCTACTCATGGTGATTACAGAACCCTGCAGTACACTCCGCTCCAGGAGAATGTGCGAGAGGATGAGAGGAGAAGGGGTAGTTTAAACCCTCATGAAGCCTACCCCTTTCTATATATACACCCAGTACTTAATCTTTGAGACTGTTACTAAATTGTATCATCTGAGCATGAAGAGGTCTTAGTCTGATTATTTCCATTAACACTCACTTATGGATGGGCTCCTTAAGCTTCTTATGTTGAGCTCTGTCTTGTTCCAACTGGTCTGGAGAGGGTCTGCATTGCTGTTGTCAGGGACCTGTTGGTCATCTGTTTAAAAAAAAAAAAGAGAGAAACCCGGCTGGAAGTGAGTGGATAAGCCTACCTTCTTGACAAATATGCCCAAGGAGGCAATAGGGAGAATCCAATGTGAATTTCCAGCTCCTCACTTCTAATTCCCATCATATCTGACTCTTAGGAACTGAAAATAAGTGGGCATTATCTATAGTTGTGCTCTCATTGATAAGAATGAGGTGGATTACCAAAGCTCCAGGGTTGGACTGGCTTTGGACAAATAACTAAGTTGCTCCTTACATTCAAGCTAAAGACACTACTAACCAGTGGAATCAAAGTCACCAAAGACTAGTAGTACTTTTCAGGAAAAGTTTTATGAACAGGGGCATGAATCATTCCGTTTCGTATTCCTCTGAGCTCTGGCCTGGTCATTCATCTCTGAGATGCATCCTTCAATTGGAAAGAAAACAAAGCTGAAATGTCCTAGACATCACATGCTGTCTTAGGAGCTAAAAGAGACATTAGAAAATCTGAATTTTGCACATGACGAAACTGAGGTACAGAGACATCGGGTGATTATCCGAGGTCTCACAGCTTGTTACTGGCACAGATAGGTTATTTTCTGTCTCGCACCAAAGTGGTGGCCTTCCTTTCCCATTCTTGATGGTCAGCTCTCCAGCCCTCTTGCCTCCTGCCTGACTCTGGACTGGGCACTGGCACCTCCAGGGTGCTGCGGAACACTTTAACAGACAGACAATTTCACCATCAAGTGTTTTCACCTCTTGCCAAGATAATTATTCCTCACAGCAAGCCGGCTGATTGAGCCATAAACTCTAAAGGGTTGGGGAGCTGGGGCAGGCAGGGGTAAACATTGGCCAACCATTCAGCAAGTATTGTGAGTACAAGCCACCCAATCCCCATGGCTGCTAGGAAGAAAATTCTCCTAATGCAGGCAGCTTGCAAAGTGGTGCTAGAGCCTGCCAAATGGGCAAGAAGAGGTCCCACTTTGGATGTCACTTGATTTGTAGAGCTGGTACAGAGGCAGAAAAGAGTTGAGTGTTGGCAAGAAGGAAGGAAAATAAAATTAAATTCACTGCATTTATATGTGAGCTTTCTTCTAAGTATGATACTCAAAATGTAGAAGATATGTCTAGGCTGTAATTAAAAAATACATATGTACATATATATATTGCTTTTCACATTATTATCCTGCAAATCATTTCATCTGGATGGTATCTTTAAATCTTTCCCACTTCTAATGTGGCAAGTTTGCATCTTTTCTACGGTTTTAAACCCTTTGGCAGAACCATATACATTAACAGATTGAAATGAGCTTTATTGAAATTTAGCTATTCTAAGTCATCTAAGTTGCAGAATCCCAATTTATTATGTATTTAAAGCATACCAGCCCTGATTAAATCAATGCAAATTAGGTTAAATAAGAACAACATGAATCAAGTGTTTCAGCAAAGTTGAGTCGAGAAACGACAACTTTTGAGTCACCAGAGCAGGCTGATATAGCTGGTTTTCATGAGTTTTAATGTCATGCCTCTTAGGGTCCAACACACTAAAAAGTAAAAAAAAAAGGAAAAAGCTCAAATAAACTTCTTTCTTTCCTCATGTTTGATCTCTCATAACTCTTTACCTCTCTTGTGAGAACATCTAATGCATCAGGCTGTAATGTGACGATTGTGTATATACATGATCAATCTGTTTTTCTGGGCTAAGCACAGGTTTCTGTTGGTAAATGTCTTCTCCTTCAGCGTCGGATGCTGATGAGAGATCTTTTACACACTTTAAAAACACCCTTGTTATTTTCCGTGTTTGTATGGGGAAAGATATTTAGCATGTCTTGCTGAACTGCCATAGTAGCTGAGCAAGAAAGGCACCTCAAGCCATTAGGCCAACATGTGATTGGGGAGTGGGATAAGAAAGGATAAGAATCTTGAAAACGTGGACTCAGCAAATGGGAAGGAACTCAGGGGTACGTGAAGTATGGATTTGACTGCCAAAACACAATCTGGAACTAAGAGGTGGAAGAGCAAGCTCGATGCAGCTGGAGAGGCCAGAAGTATAGTTTGGAGGAGGGAGAGGTAATTAATTCCTCCTCTTCTAAACCTTATACTGATACATTAACCTTTGCATAATAAACCCTCCTTGCTTCTTCTTGGTACTTTATGTTGTGATGGGGTGCTAGGGGGGTGGTCACATACAGTTGTTGTTTTTTTTTTTCTTGAAATGTTGTACCTCTCCCATTTCATCTCAACTGAAGGCCACCTCCAATTCGTTTATTTGAGTCAAAATAGTTTGTGAACATAGAGGTGCAAGTGACAAAAGTCTGAAATGAGCATGCATTCTGAGGATTGGCCTTCCAATAGTCATCTTTGGCAGTGTTCAAGGAAAGACAAATTCAAGTGGTGATTTTAATGTTCTGTCATTGCTTGCTCCAGCCTGGACCTTGGTCTTTATGTGGTTGTCTTTACTTTTCAGCAGTGAGCACTGGCTTTTCTTTAAAAGGAAACGTTTAGATGTAGGGGAGGAGGGTGGGAGTCACAATTTCAAAAGGAGAGAATTAACTCTGTTGTTCCTGTGGGCACACAGCATATAACTGGCCTTTTACAGAGCACCTCTGAAGATGTATATGGGGCCAAAGGGTGAGGGTTGTAAGGTTTCTCTCGGGAGATCCACTTAGGAGGAACACATTAAAAAAAGGTCATTTTTCTTATCCAACTTATCCTCCTCTTAAAACAAGGTAGTGATATGGATAGCACTAAGGCAACACCTAACATCTTGCATTGATATTAAGTCATGGGAGTAAACCAAAGAAATGCAATTACTTAGTGCTTTCCTCCTGGAGCTTTAGGTAGGGAAGAGCAGCAGACACTGAGAGACTTAGCCGGTAATAATTATGTATGGCCCAGTGCTTGAGAGTAAATGTCTCTAGAACATACAAATGTGAAGAGCTGACAGGTCAAATGGGACCAGTGAAGGAAGTAAAGTGTATGAAGTAGTTTAAGGACTCAAGGCTCACTGACTGGAGAGATGGTCATCGTGAAGGCATACCTACGATGGGGAACTGAAATGCATATATCATGATGAGTGGATTAATTCCCTAGTTCTCCGGGGGAAGAAGATATACAGGGACAAATGGAATCTGTGTTGGGAGAGGAAGGAAGTTGGTAAAGGGCTTCCAAACATTTGCTATATTAAGACCATCCATTGGTCCCCAGACCTAGTTCTTTCCCTAGGCCTGGTTTTATAAATACTGGTGATAAACCAAGTCTGCTTTGTATGATACATCTTATGTGGGAAGTGTGTGTGACTTTAGGTATGTGACCAACCTTGAGAAATGACAGCACAGCTAGTGTAATAACTTTTGAAGATAACCATTGTTAATTGGATGATTACCATTTGCCATTAAATGAACTGTAAATTTTTTTTAAAAGGGCTTCCAATGCTATACTGAAAATTTTAGTTTGCTGTATTCTTCTAGCCTCTAAGACTGAACACCTTAGGGTTATCTTTGACTTCTGTAATAAATACCTGGGTTAGTTCCTGAGGCCTGTTCTGCTGTCCTGGGCCCCTCTCTACAAGCTTCCTCTGCACTGCCATGTGCTCTGATCATGCCATATTATACCTAACTGCTGTATATACTCTCTCCATCTTTGCTTACCTTCATTCTAGCCATCCTTCAAGGCTGATGTCAAATATCCTCTATGACGTTTTTTTTTTTCTTGCCCACGCCACGCGGCATGTAGGATCCTAGTTCCCTGACCAGGGATCGAACCCATGTCCCCTGCAGTGGAAGCACAGAGTCTTAACCACTGGAGTGACAGGGAAGTTCCCTTCTATGACTTCTTAACTGATTCCCATGTAAAGTGATCTCTTATTCTTCTGAACTATATTAGCAGCTTACCTTTACCAATACTGCTCCTGGTGTGGCTCACTTTATATGAGTGTGGCAGCCATTTCTAATTATAGTATTTTAGAACTGAATGGGACCTTAACATCTTGGAGATTAGGAATAAAAAG